ACAAAAACTACATTACCAGTAAAAAGCAAAATTTTTACTGTGTTTTATTGTCTGCGCCGTGAACAGGGATACTTTTATGCTTGTTTCGATGCTAAGGTTTGAGCATTTTAGTTATTGAATGGAGGTGGAAATAAAGATTTTGTTGACTAGTATGCAACTTTTGAGTAGGAAAAAATTCGCCAAAGTATTAAACAAAACCCAGTTATATTTTATAAAAATTGACGACTAAAATGGAGATCTATTATACAATTTTAGGACATTTTAGGGAGAATAAATTATTTTGGCACAGCAGAGCACTGGGAATGCCACACTGTTCATCCCAAAACACATGCACCATTCAAAACAAAAGGTCATGAAAAGCAACATATGCTCTAAAGAAATGAGAGGACTTGATGTGTGATTTGTTTTAACTCATAAATGTATTTATCTTAATAAGAAATTAAACGTGCATGAAAACCTCCATTTCCTCATGCTAAGACACATTATTTTTTTCCTGAAGTGGTACTTTATTTGCAATTCATACAGGAAAAAAAAAAAAATTGCTTTCTTCAGAAGGTTAAGAACTGATACCGCAAAGAACATCTATTATTTACGTCGATTAAAAAAATGAGGCGTTGCTAATCAAAATATAATAAACACAATCCTCAATTAGAAGAAACATAATACTAAATCCTTAAAAAATACCCAGCTAAAATAACAATTATGTCCGAGTCTGTGTTATTTAAGAAAATCCTTGTTTTGGGCTTTTATTGGGGCAGGGGAGATGGGTGGTTCTGGTTCTGGATGGCTGGTCTAAAGGTCGGAAAACAAGCCTCCAACATGGCTGGATGTCTAAAGACAAACCAGGCATGACGTAAAGGCCAAGGGCAAAGGAGGTGGAGGAGATTTCTCAGTGGGTGTCTTAGTTATGCACAACTGCCCCCCCCCCTGCATCAGTCTCCACTCAACCCCAGACAATACCAAAATATGCAAACTAAACATGAATTTAGAACACTTATTGTCCT